CAGATAGTTAGTACCCTTAAGGTTGTATCCTGGGAATGCGTAAAAGTATTTGGTTGCATTTTAAATACTAATGTTGCAAGTAGGACTGAGATGGGTTATGACAGCCCATTCAACCAACAACTGAACCAAGTTGAGAGATGAAATTGACAACTAACCACAAGGACAACGTCCATTACTGATAGGATGGGGTTTTTTTAGTTTATGCTAACAGACCACTCTGCAAACATTGTGAAATACTGTAGAGAGAACCCTTTGTTAACTTCCAGAAGCCAATGGTAAAAGGTTAAAAACATCAGAAGGTGGTATATGCTGACCTTGGATAAATAAATAAATAGAATCAAGGGAGAGAGTGTAAAGGGACCCTAGCATTTGAAAGTTCTTGTACAACTCCAAAAGAGAGTTTCAGTAAAAGGCTTAAATAATGTATTTGAATATTGGAAAAACATCATGCAGCTTCAGTTGATTGGGGGGAGGGGAGTTGTCAATTACAGCAACTAACTTGCAGGAATGGAAGTTACAGAGCTTTCCCAAAAAAGTATACCCTGCAACAAAGGTTGCATGGATCATTTGGAGCAGTGTTTCTCAACTTTTTTTTTTTTTTTTAATAAAGTACCCCTTTTTTCAAAACAAAAAAATCATAAGTAACCCCAATACCTACAGTTTTCAGACACACAATTTTTTTTTCCTACCATTGCAACACATTTGTTTAAACAACTTAATCATAGTCGGGCAGGCGATTAATTTTTTTGGTGTAAAAAGTAAAAAATAATAAAGCGCTGTAAAACTTAAAACAAAAAATCAGTTCTCCTAATTTCAGTTGTGTTGACGTACCCCCAGACTTATCTTGACAACCCCTAAGGGTACTCGTATCACTGGTTGAGAAACACTGATTTAGAGTACAATGCTGTTTGCAGCATGCAACATTAGCTGGTATGTGACTTGCCCAAAATGACAGAATAAATCTACAGATGTAATAGTAGTGTAGCTGAATCTATGGCTGAGCTGGGAATAGAACCAAATTAGGATTCATCTTCCCTTCTCTCATTTCTGAACTACTCCACTTTACCAGCCCCTCAAACCACAAACCCTGCTAGTACTAGGCTAAACAGTAAAGCAGCACCACACAACTGGTCATGGGAAAATGCAGCATACAGATGGAACTGCAGAGGACTCATAGGTAAACAGAATCTAATCACAGGAGTAAAAATTCAGCTAGGACACCATGGTTAACTTTACGGGTGCGTCTAGACTGGCAAGATTTTGCCCAAAAGCATCCGTGCCAATCTAGACGTGCTTCTGTGCAAGAAAGCTCGGATGGCCAATTTAGCCACCGGGCTTTCTTGTGCAAAAAATTAAGGTGCCTGTCTACACTGGCCCTCTTGCGCAAGAATACTTGCGCAAGAGGGCCAGTGTAGACAGGCACCTTAATTTTTTGCACAAGAAAGCCCGGTGGCTAAATTGGCCATCCGAGCTTTCTTGCACAGAAGCACGTCTAGATTGGCACGGATGCTTTTGTGCAAAAGCACTTTTTGTGCAAAAGCATCCGTGCCAATCTAGATGCTCTTTTGCGGAAATATTTTTAACGAAAAAACTTGTCCGTTAAAAGTATTTCTGCAAAATCATGCCAGTCTAGACACAGCCTATATGTTTAGGGTAAGAGAACATTCAGCAGCACTATTAATGGCCACAACCAGTCAAGTTGAAACCAATTTTAAATGACATCTGAGACACAAGGCATTGAATTCCATAATGCACCCAACTTCCTACAGTTCAGTATTGACCAGAGGAGAAAAATGCCAATTATAGAATCATTAACACCACCCTTTGAAGCACTAATAAGTTACTTTGAGGTCCCCTATCTCTGCAATGGCCCGATTCACCTTTGTTTAAGGTCACAGTGTATTAGCTATTTTAGGAATTAAACTTTCACCCCCTCTCAGTCCCCAGCTCTCCTGAAAGAGCTGGATACAATCCAGTAGACCCATTGTGTCCAACACACTAGCCACATGTGGCTATTTGACTGGTTGAGTGTGGCTAGTTTGCTATAGCAGTAGCCACTATAGTGCTTTAGAACTGATTGGACACCACAGCAGTAGACAATCAATCACAACTGTTGCACTACCTACCCCGGAAGGCGTAGACTCCTTACCCCTTTCACATCAACCAGCAGAAACATTGAAGTTTCATTTCCTTAGGATCAGAGCTCTACAGCAGCACTAGTGAACAAGCACGAAGCCTTATCTTTCCCATTGCTTCACAACACCATTAAAACCCCAGCTTGTTCCAGGAGAAGTTTCTCTCCTACTTCAGTCCTTTACATTCATACAAACTGAGCCTCAGACTCATAAGTTCCGTTTAAACCACTACTCATGACTAGTTTAAAAAACAAAACAAAAACCAAAACCAAACATTTTTAAGGATTCAGATTTCTGGCTAACAAGATATTTAAGGTGAAATTCTGGCCCCACTGAAGTCAATTACAAATCTCCCATTGACTTCAATGAGGCCAGGGTTTTCCCCCCTGCTGTTTTGATTGAATGCGTGTTTATGATCCACCAAGTGAAAGGCCAAGACTAACAATCCAGGTTTCATTAGATTTTTATTTGTGTTTGTTTTAAATCTTTTGAACAAACATCCCAGAGTATGGGAAGTGTTTCCTTTTTATGAACACAAGCCAAACATGGAGCAAATCTTTCAACACAACCCTCACAAAAATCACTACACAGAGTCTCTCTCTGCAGTCATGTCCCAGTGGTACCGCTTGAATTCCAAAACACAGTACACTTTCTGTTGCTGTTCTAAGCCTCTGTAATGGTCTGATGTACTCTGTTCTTTAAAGTTGCTCATCCTAGGAGGCAATTCAAACTTTGCAGTACTTTATTTTCATAACACTGAGCTATAACACTGATACAAAAGAACCATTAGCATAGTTTCTCATGCATTGCTATGGAGAATCTTAACAAGTCCTTGAATTAAACAGCTGACTTAATAATCTGCAATATATTTTATCCAAGTCTTCTGATATTACATGGGATCAAGCATGGACAAGCTGACTGGAAGCAAAGATCACTTAGGAAACTCACTAGCTCTCAGACACAGGAGGCCCATTTTAACAACAGTGTGTTAGCTTCCACGACTTAAAATAAAGGATGTGCTTCCTCTAGTGGGCCAATAAAGCCTAACATTGTTACTGTAAAACCCATTTATTCACTATTTATTCACTCAGTCTTTTCCTGAGCAAGGCAAGCAAGCTGAGGAATTGTTTTAAACTGTCATATTGTCAGCTGTTTATATTTCATGTTTTAAAATGACATTTGCATGAATATGGTCTGAGCATATTCTGTACCAAGGCCACTTTCTTTCTGGGCTAGAGGTGCTGCAAACGAAGGCGTCAGGCTCACTTATGGAAATCTTACTCGAGGAAGCATTTATCCTGTTTACAGATCAACCAGATCATGAACTTGAGAACAACTTGGACAGAATGCTCAATCAAAAAAAATTAAATAATGTAAGTAGCGTCTAGGCTGTTTTTATATCCTTCAGGTGCTTTTAGTTCATGTTGGAAGTAGGTAAAAAGATTCAAAATCAGTTTGCATTAGAACAGAAGAAATGTTACTGCACACTAGTAAGTCTCAAGACACAGGGCTTGTTGCCACCCGAGAAGGATGGACACTGCAATGATCTACCTAATAGGGGTTAATTTAGCAGGTTTAGTGACAACCCAGTAAACTGACAGATCACTCTCCCATTGACTCAAATACTCATTCTGGTGGTGAAGAGTAAGGCAAGTTAATGTAAGAGTTTCTTCTGTTGACCCAGCACAGCTATGTCGATTTGAATAATGCTACTAATGGCATTCAAATTGCATAGCTTAGATTGACTTGCCCCAAAGTGGAGACCTGCCCAAAACTTCATATGGACTTTCTACACAAAGACGAAGCCTGCATATACTGACAAAAAGAAAACTGAGTAATCACTTTAATTCTGAATAAGAATTTATCCTGTTATATCCTTTTAATTATTTTTCCAGTTAAACTTCAAATTGGAAGTATTTATTAAAACCCAAACCATCCTTCCGAAAAGCCAAAGGGTAAAATATCATCTTCCTCTTTAGAGTGTTATTTTAATTTTTCTACAAAGGCAATTTTTTAAAAAAATGAAAGGAGGAAAGATCCCACTTTTGTCAAGCAGCATACAATAATGAGAAATAAAATCTTCATGGTCAACTTCCCTATTGCTAGGCAGGTGGGGTGGGGGAGGAAGAAACACCCACAGTTCATAAATAACTTTTACAGTCGAATAGGGATGTCAGATAGTGTGTAACTGAATAGTCACGTAACCACATAAAAACTTTGCAGTTACACACCTATTGGATAGTCCCCGGGGCAGGACTGACAGCCAACGTACTCCCAGCCCCATTCTCGGGTAGGGATGTTAAAGACTGGTTGACTATCCATTAAGCATTTACTCATTG